ACCTAAGGCGGCATCACCAGGATTCGCGGGAATTTCAGGAGGTTTGACGCGACTTGCCGCCATTAGTTAGTTTTAGGACCGTCGATTCTTGTAGGGTGTGAATCCTCGTTCGCACGCTTCGTATGAGAGTCCACGACGTCCGCCTCCCATCCGTTCCGCGAGCCTCCAGATACAACCTCAACCTCACGCTCAGACGCAAGCGCGACCAACACCTAGGCGGAGTGGGTCGCTGAGAGGGATCCATAAGCTGTTCGATCGACGTGCGAGTGAGGGCGTAACGGAGAGCTTGAAAAGCAGGATCAGCGGGCCGAGCGTCACTATGGTCGGTATGGCCGTGGATGTGCTGGATGGGATGATTGACCTTAGGAACGTGTCGGTGGAGGAGGAGGACGGAAGTGTGTATAGTGGCGAAGACTAATGTATTCGTCACTAAAGTCCCGAGCTTTTCGCTACGATCACAAACTACCGGTATTGGCGGAAGCTTCTTCAAAGTCGCTTTGTTGAATGTTGATGAATGTTGAAGCCTTTAAGGTTCAATCACTAAGAGTTTGTCGTGCGTATGCGCCATCTATATGTCGTGCCCGAAGGTGACAAATCTCATTGTACACCTAAAGTTCATCGCTTGAGCAGAAGATAGGTGAATTGCTATTGCTACAAGGGAATGGTAGTACAATCGTGCGTCGTGGTATACAAATGCGATGATAGCAAGATGTGAAGAGAAGTCATGGTTGCGCATGAGGTTCGAGGGGTGTTGGACCCAGTCTCGAGGCATGTCGGGTGTTGGATCCGACGCAGACGTCGCACGATGTGCCGCCGAGTGTTGTAACTCGGATATGGCGAGTAGGTTGTGGACTATTGTACTCCAGATGTAAGGGACGGGAAATGTTGATGATGTGCCGATGCCGATGCAATGCTATTGTTGTTGATGAGATAGGGAGTGCAAAGAGTGTTGGACTCCATCGGTCAAGTGTGGCCGCAAGCGAAGGTGTTGGACCGTGCCGCCTGCCCAAGCTACGCGGTCTACGCCGCGCGCTGCGCCCAGGTGAAGTAGAGGTCGGTGTGGTACTCCCACGCTTCGTCGCCAGCCATCTCCTCCTTACGCTTCTCGAACATCTCGAGCGTGTAGCCGAGCTTGATCATCTCCTCGCTCGGCTCATAGCTGAAGCTCCGGTTCCAGCTCGTGCGGAGGGTCTCCCCGAGGCCGCGAATCTTCGGATCTATAAGACATGAGTTGACGACGACCGCACGTGGATGACAGAAGCTGACCGTCGGACAGTGGGTTGATGGGTAGCACGACGTGGTCCTCCCCAACCTTCAGTCCATTCTTTGCCAGGAAGCTGGCGAGCTGCGACGCATAGACCGGGTTCTGTCCTCCCTTCTCCCACCCACGCACACGAGCAGTGTACGCCGAACGGATGGCGGGAACGTTGCCCTTTACATCAGCAGTGACGGAGATATCCTCAATCAGAAGGTGGCCGCCAGGAGCAAGGAGGGGTAGGACGCGGGCGAGGACATCGAAGGGTTTGGGGAGCTACAGAAATATCGTGAGCGCCGAGCAACGGGATACAAGTAGTTGTACGAACATGAATGAAGAGGAAGCGGCCGTGGATGACGTCGAATGTACCCGGCTTGAGCTCATCTGGGAACTCCTTGAGAAGATCCAACTGTTTGAAGGTGACGTTGGGTGGGAAGGACCTGAGCGCTACGATTAGCGTTGGTAAGGTCGGCTTGGAAAGAAGGTAACTTGCCGGGCAGGAAGAGGGCTAATGTCCGTGGCCAGAACCTGGGCTTCGGGGTATACCGTCGCAGCCTCTGCAGCCCTGAACGAAGCCGTCAGAATAAATATCACTACGGGTATTGGGTTTGTCGCGCACCATGTACCTGTACCAGCACTGTCAAACGCAAGATGTCAGCTCTTGGCAAGTGTACATGAAATCGCGCTACTCACCCCAGCTCCAGAATCTTCTTCGGCGATCCGAGGTCTGCTAGACATAGTTTGCCGTCCATATACTTCTTCAATCCGTAATGGAGGCCGTCGAGCCTATTATGACGGTGGACTGTGATCAGATCAAAGAGCCGAAGCAATGGCACGGTTTGACGGACCGTTCATTCTCGCTGTCGAGGTTCTGTGACGCCCATCAGCACCGATGTAGAAGAGACGGCACATGCAAGCCTTACCGCGTGCTTGAGATGCCAGTAATTAGATTGCTCGGATTCAGCGCCCGAGGCGTTGGTCGGGGTAGTCATAGATGGAGAAGAACGAGAGCAAAGAGCGTGGTATTCAGATCACGAACGTGATTGAATGAGGGACGAGAGACTGGGCGTTAGCCAGTACTTAAGTCTCTGGCGGGACGGTGGAGGTTGAGAGGAAACAGCGATCCACTTCGCTTGACTCTTCGACTTTCCCATATAGGAATCATCCACATGATTGTCATACATATTATGTCATACGGGGACTATGGATCATCCGGTAGACTTCTAGAGGGATACTACGGAAGTACTGGTAGTGGGCGACATGGACACCACAACACACGGGCAACCTATACAGCGGACCAGCACGACGTCCGGACTTTCCAACACCCAAACAACGTCCTGAAAGCTTCATTGCTCGTCCCATGGACCCCACCGCTGCGTAACTCTTTAGTTACATGAAGTTGAGAGAGAACCAACGGGGTTATCGCACCTCAGGCGGTCCCCATCGCCCGTAATCCTGATTGACGACGTACTCTGGCGGCGCTTCTTGCCAATTCCCGACCCACTCGAAGACCTCATCGTCCGCCTTTGGCGCAAACGACTCGTCATCCTTACGAAACGCGTCGTAGTGGTCCACAGTGTACGCAACACTACACACGCACTCTTGTCAGTACATTCTGCTGTGCCGAAGAATAGCAGGGCGTACCTGGCTTTCGGGATGATGGCAATGCGCTTGAACCCCATCTTCCACAGATCGACGCTGGAAAGAAAGCACTCGGACGCCTTGACGGTCAGGTTGCTCGGTACGTTCCCACTTTCATCTTCCCAATCAGCCTTGCTCTGCCGAAACCTTATGTTGTGCGGAGGTAAGAACGCGCTCGCATGGATGATGGACGCGCCATTCCAGCAGCTGAACACCTGAAGCGGAAGATGGCGGTCCCAGCGTCGACGGTCCACAGGATCGTCCAGAAGAGGCTCGAAGACCTCTTTGGTAGGGTCACCCAAACGCCACCAGCCTCGTCCAGAGATGGTCCGTAGAACCCAGCGATCGTATAAGCGGTGCGAGCCCCAGTCGGTAGCACAAGCTTGATGCATCCCTTGCCGGCGGTACTGGAGCAGCATCTCGAGTAGATCGGGTGCACAGAAGAAGATGTCGTTCATGAAGAAGACCTCATCTGGTCCAGAGCCGAGTGCTGCTGCTGCTTTGCCGGTGTATAGAGGTCTGAGGGCGGTGTTGCGTGCCGCTGCGAGTACCGCGATGCGCCGAGGACCTTCTACGATCTCTTGCCGCGCCTCTCCGTGTGTGATGATTTGATGCTGCACGCCAATAGCGTCTAAGATCTGAGAGACTGCGTGGAGAATTCAGTACGGTTGTATGCGCCTTGTGAAGGCGACGCACTCACGAGACCTCAAGTATTCGACCGTTCCGTCGCTACTGCCACTCTCGAAAATCGAGAGGTACACGTTCTGTACGCCAACCCATTCAAGTACTACTGGCAGCTCCTGCGCTAAGGTGCTGATGAGGTCGCCGTTCTGATGCAAGAGCAAAGCGATCATGACGCGTCGATTCGCGTTTCGTAGTGGCGCGAAGCGCGCGTCGTGCCACGCAGTCCATCTGCATCTCGGGCGTCGGTGCATCCTCGTTCGCCAGTTCAGAGAATTCTGGAGTTGTCGAGCCGGGCGAGTTGAGAGTGAGCGTGAGGCGCGTCCATTTGGATCGTGAATGCCTGAAGCGATTGTTCAGTTGTTGCTAGGATCCGACTGGCCAAAGTGAAGACATACCGAAATACGCAAGCAAGAGAAGTAGCACGGTGATTGAGATACCGAGAGAGGTGTTACACTGACGAGCTTCTAGATGCATAGGTACGAGGGTAATATCGGCCTAGCATGGACAGTGGATGTAACGGAGAGGAGTGTCAGATCCATTGCTGGTGGAGGATCGACATTGCGCCCATGTCTTACTTGCATGACGGTGAATCACTCAAATGAAATCAGACATTCGTATGATCATCATCATTGCAAAAGGTACAAGTATATGGTCAATGGGTGCGACCAGCAAAGTGAACACCAGTATGTCGCCGTATGTGGTGGTCGTTGACGAGGAAGATAGCGCCTCGCGCGGAAAGACCAAGCCTCTTATCCCTTCGGATTACGTAGGGTTAAATGCATCCAAACAAATCGCCGCTCGCGCGACGCGCGCTCACAACTGATGACGATCATCTGCGATAGTCAAACACTATAGAGCCCTACATACGACATAGACATGGCACATGATTCTAAAAGCTACCATAGGACTCTACTTGTCGTAATAAGGGTATCGATCTACCTACATCGTGAGCGAAGATGTTACTACTGCTCGTCCCACGGCCCAAGACGCTGGAGATACTAATGAGAGTGAATGATATGTGACAGGAGAGTACGACATACCTCAGGTAGATGCCACCAGGCATAGTCTTGGCTGATTACCTCCTTGGGAGGCGTCTCCTTCCAGTTTCCAATCCACTCGAACACTTCGTCGTCGCCCTTGGGCGCGAAAGACTCGGAGTCCTTTCGAGACTCGACATAGTGCTTGAACCTGTACGCAACGCTATACATCTTATGAGCACAGTCTCACACGGGTGCTCAGAGGTATCGATGGCGTACCTAGCTTTCGGGATGATGGCGATGCGATTGAAGCCCATCTTCCACAAGTCAACACTGCTGAGAAAGCACTCGGATGCCTTCGACGTCGCGTTGAGCGGTATGCCCTTCTCCTCGTCCTCCCAATCAGCCTTGCTCTGCCGGAATCTCATGTTGTGCGGGGGTAAGAAGGCTTCGGCGTTGATCACCGTAGCACCATTCCAACAACTGAACACTTGAAGCGGCAGATGCTTCTCCCACCGTCTGCGGTCCACCTCCTCATCGAGAAGAGGTACGGGGAGCGTCTTAGGATGGTCGTCCGGTGTTCCAAAGTACTCGAGCAGATCGTCTTGGCGCCACCATCCTTTCCCAGATATAGCCCGCAGTACCCATCGGTCGTACACGCCTATCTCCCAGTCTGTCGCGCACGCTTGGTGCATCCCTTGCTGTCGGTATTGCAGAAGTACCTCGAGTAGATCGGGTGCGCAGAAGAATATGTCGTTGAGGAAGAAGACCTCATCGGGTTCGCCGCCGAGCACTGTTGCAACTTGGCCGGTGTAGAAAGGTGTGAGAACGGTATTGCGCGCTGCGGCCATGACCATGATGCGCCGGTTTCCTTCCGTGTTCTCCTCCCGCGTATCCCCGTATGTGACGATCTGGTTCTTGACGCCGACGGCGTCTAGTATCTTGCGAACTGCGCCGTACACTCAACGAGAGGATAGGAACTGACGAAGGACGTCTACTCACAGTCGCCTAGATACTCCCGGGTTCCGTCGGGACTCCCGCTCTCGTATATCGACACAAAGACGTTCTCGACTCCAAGCCACTCGAGCACGACCGGCAACTCTTGCGCCAAAGTGCTGACGAGCGCACCGCTCTTGTGCAAGAGCATCGGGAGCATGATCCGTCGCTTCGTGTTTCTCAATGGCGCGTAGCGTGCTTCGTGCCATGGCGTCCATTCACACACTGGGCGGGGATGCATGCTCGCCTTCGCGTACAGCCTATCTTGCATTCGCCTGGCGGCGCGTACGGAGAGCGGGCGTGATGCACGCCCTCCAGCGGGTGGAGCAGCTGCGTTCTGCGTGTATATGGACTCGAACCCAATCCCGGAGAGCGGAAGTACGCCCATTGAATGTGCAGAGTATCCTAGCAAGAGGAACAATGCAAACGAGAGCGCGCCGAAAAGAATCGTCCGCCGACGACCAAGTACACGCCCGCTAGAAGACGAGCCATCGCGCCGCATGGGCAGTGAGGGAGACATGGCGGGTCGGGAAAACTGTCGGCATGTCTATGCGAAACCGGCGTAGACGAGCACAAGACAGGCATCCATGTCTCTGTCAGATCTTTGAGGGCGATACCCGCGTGCCACACGTCTCGGGTGCAGTGTTCGCTGGAGGTACATGCAGGGGAACATCAGCCCGTCCATAACGTACTATAGTAGAGCTGTGGTGCACGCTATCAGTATACAGAGGACGAAGCATACGGTCGAGGTCGACGCTGAGAAGGAACAAGCGAGGTTGAACTCGACGGGTGCGTCGGCGGCGCTGATCCGTTGATGTGACATTAGGTTAGGGTTATGTCGGCGATCTGGCGGCGACGCGGCGTGTAGCGAACCTAATACTCCACTGGTGGGGGTCGGCACCTGCGGTTCAGGAGGCGTGCGTTCCCACGATTATCCTGAGCCGCGTCGAGGAATTTGGGTCGGTCGCGGTTTTCGTCGCGACAGGCGCGATGTGCTGGAGCTTCAAATATTCCCCTCACCCATAGTAGACATTATAATTATGGGTAAAGGTAGACGGCATACAGTACAGCAAATTGTAGTGTAGAATATGCAAGAAAGCAATTGCCCGCCACACAGAGGTGGGCTCACTTTGGGCGATCTCACATCACGGTCGGGACGGCGTCAAGGAAAATCCTCTCTACAGATTTGCAAAGCCCATCTGAACTCCCTGCCATCTTAAACCCTCGGTTTGTGCCAATTTCAGCGAGTTTTGAAGCTCGAGGCCCCGCGCTTCGCTACTCGCGAGCCTCAAGGCGCGTCGTGGCGAAAGTGGAAGTAGGAGACGCGTCTGTACGGGATCTGCGCTCATCAGCGTTCTTCGCTTCCCCGATCACTGACGATCAACCTTCCTTACCGTAGACGGGAGACACGATGCCCTACAAGAAGAAGACACGATCGACGGCCCAGCAAAGCATTTCGCAGAAGCTCAACGTCTTCAGACGGCTTCCCAAAGACGACGATGACGACGAGAAACGACCCGCCCGTGCCCGCACACCTTCTCCCGAGCCTAGTTGCTGTTCGTGCGCTCAAATGCTCTCCATGTGCTACTGTACCACTTCGGAATTCAGAACTCGTCTTTCTCTGTAGATGTGTTGTGCGCTACCCGCCACGATGATTGTGCCCCGCTGCGAGACGAACCGTGGGAATCAAAAAGTGCGCTCGGTGTACGAATTCCAGAAAGCTAACCAGTCACGTCAGTCCACGCCTGAGTGGCGCAGAACATTAAGACTATGATATACCAGTGCTCAGTAAATTATGGGACGTGTACCGCCAAGTTCAATACTGTACACGAGCCCCTGATCTCGTACTGCGACTTCGACCTCTGGTAGGCCCCTAGCAGCCGAAGCTCCGGTCATAATTCTACATCTCTTTGCACATAGCCTACATAGATATAGTTCTAGCGATAAGTCATGTAAAGGGGCTCGAACGCGATGTGGACAAAGCCCTGTGGGCGACGAAGCGCCATGACCGAGCTGTCTGGCGTTTTGTGTGATGGGAGAGTGCACGTGCCGTCACGGTTTCGCAACCGCAGGTGCCGACCCCCAACTCCAGTATGCCTGACTAGAGACTGGGCTCTCGATAGTAGCGGCTCGTATTACAGCTCACTGAAAATCCCTTATGGTAATTCTAGTATGATAACTCGACCAGGCAAACCTAGTCAAGGATGCCGGATAACAGTCAACTTCGGAGTCGAAACAGTAATACACGAGTGTACATAGCAGGTTATACTCGGTCAGACTGACCACACCTAGAAGCGGCAGCTCTACTGCTCATTCCAGTGCCCCAAACGCTGTTAACCTTGTCAGCGTCATGCATCTTAAGCTTACACAAGCATGCGACAACGAGACTCACCTCAGCGACGTGCCAATATGCATAGTCCTGGTTGACGACTTCTTCTGGAGGACTCTCCTTCCAATTCCCAATCCATTCGAATACTTCATCGTCTCCCATGGGCGCGAAGGATTCGCCGTCTTTCCGGAACTTGTCATAAGTATGAATCCTATACGCGACACTGAACGCCTTATCAGCTCTCCATGTTGAGCTCGGAGGACCAAAGATCGTACCTGGCCTTTGGTATGATCGCAATCCGAGTGAAGCCGGCTTTCCATAGATCGACACTACTCAGATAGCTCTCCGACGCCTTGGAGGTCAGGTTCAGCGGTATTCCCAGGCTCTCGTCTTCCCAATCCGCCCTACTCTGCCTGAACCTTATGCTATGCGGAGGAAGAAACACCTTTGCATCGATCACCGTCGCGCCGTTCCAGCAGCTGAAGACTTGCAACGGTAGATGAAGCTCCCATCGCCTCCTGTCCACCTCTTCATCTAGTAGTGTCCCGGGCAACTCCTTCGGGTGGTCGTTGGGCGTCCCAAAGTATTCCATGATCTGGTCTTGCCGCCACCATGGTCGTCCGGAGATAGCGCGCAGTACCCAACGGTCGTACACAAGCTCATCCCAGTCGGTCGCACACGCTTGGTGCATGCCTTGCTTGCGATACTGAAGAAGGATCTCGAGTAGATCGGAAGCGCAGAAGAAGATGTCGTTGATGAAGAACATCTCGTCGGGCTCGCCTCCCAATGCAGAGCGCACTTGCCCGGCATGTAGAGGAGCGAGTGCAGCGTTGCGTGCGGCCGCAATGACCGGGATGCGCCGGTTTCCTTCGGTATTCTCGTGTCGCGAGTCACCAAAAGCGACGATGTGGTGCTGGACGCCCATAGCGTCGAGGATCTTGCCAACTGTGAGGGTATTGTGAGCGAAAGCCGATCCTCAGAGTAAGGTCTGCTCACGATCTCCCAACCATTCCTTCGACCTGTCGTCGCTCCCGCTTTCATACACAGACACGAAAACGCTGTGCACCCCAAGCCATTCGAGCACTACCGGTAACTCCTGCGCGAGTGAACTGATGATATTGCTGTTCTTGTGCAGAAGCATCGCGATCACAATGCGCCTATTCGTATCCCTGAGCGGCGCGTAGCGCGCATCTTGCCACGGTGTCCACAGACATGTAGGGCGCCGATGCATGCTCGTCTTTGCGTTGAGCTGGTCCTGCAGCCGCCCCGCGGCCCGAATAGATAACGGGCGTGAAGCGCGGCCGCCTCCGGGGCCTGCGAGCGGGTCCACAACTGTCTGCTCGCGCGCATGCTCAGAAGCGTTGCTTGGGGCAAATAATGGGGAGATGCCGAGTAGATGTGCGGATAATAGGAGCACGAGAAGCAAGGTGAAGGCCACGGAACTGAGAAAGATCGTCCGGGGGTTCGTTCTTGAGCGAGCGCCTCGAGCAGAGGAGTCGGTCAGCATAAGCACTAGTTGCGACTGTGGCAATAGAAAGAGCACCATCGAGGCAGAGTGCACTTTTGACACTGCAAGTTATGCATTCGTGCCGGTGTCACTGCTTGATCGTGTTCGCAGCGAACCCGTTCGCCACCAAAGACTGTCAGCGGAGATACATGCAGCGCGGAGTGAGATACACTGAACGCCGATGTCGCGACCGCACAAACATGGGCTTCTCACATGAGCGCGTGGGTGGTGTCATCGAGCAATATGGTCATGGTCGGAAGCCAGGGTATGTAGGAGGTTCATCACATGGCCGCCGTTCAAGCCGACCGGCGTGAGAGAGAGCATCTTTACCTCGGGTTAGGGTTCACGGGCTGCCTCGGCACTCGTACATATATCACATGCCGACGTGTATTAGATGTACACAAGATTATAGAGCGCAAGTGCCGCTCTTGCATACTACATCGCCAAATCGCATCCCGATCAAGTCCGTAATCTAGGTAGTCTCCCAGGTAGCCGGCGTACCCCAGCGTGTCTCCTGCCACTCCCTCATGACGCCCTCGACAGCGACAGCATCCTCATCGCTCTCCACGTCATCGTTCACACACGCAAAGGCCATCTCGTGTCCGTCCAACCGGTCCAACTGACTGTGGGCGTTCCTCTCATGGTTCAGGCGAGCGAAGAGGTACGGGCTATCCGCGAGCACGAAGCGGTAGCGGTTCAGCATGCGTAGCGTCCATTCTCGCACATGAACAACTTCCTGATTCGGTTCCTGTGAAAGCACATCCGCGAGCGCGAACGCGCCCAGTTTCCAACTGGGGACCCGTGGGAGCGTCTCAGCGGTGATCCCCGAGGCTTTTGTGGCGATTATCCGGTCTGAGGCAGGGAGCACGGCTGAGAGTCCTCGACGACCGCTATTCTGCACTAGGCGGTTGATAACTGTTGGGAAGTACCTATCAGCACTCATGCTCATAACACTGGTTTGCATGCTTACTGCAATCGCCGCAAAAGGGGTTCGCGAACGCGATATGGTTGAATGCTTCGCTTGCGCTTGATATCCAAGACGGGAAACACTCCGCACGCGAAATTGTGCAAGACTCCCTCGCGAGTACATTTGGGCGCTCCAAGGTACCATTCTGACGCACTTCCAAGTAGGGGTAGCCGTCCATCGAGCCTAGGGCACTCTGCGTCAACGGAATGCCTCTATGAGAGAACAGTGAATGCACCCACTGAAGTAATACTGAGACGCTTCGGGACCTTCGTACCCCGCGGCTCTCAGCTGCTGAGGGGGGTTGAACAGCGAGTCACGGGTGAGGTCCTCGACGAGTATCTGCTCAGAATCCCCATGGAGCTCGGCCCAAGCTGATGCTGCATCCCACTCGTCGTCATCGCCCCCCATGCGAGCCACAGCCCATGACCACAGAAGGCCCTCGCGCCAGCGTTCGACGACGAAATGTACGAACATGAAGCCTGGATGCACATCTCCCGGCGCGCCATCCGTCCAAACGGCGTGCATCGGACGAGAAGCGGTGCGCGCAAAGGCTTCGGGGAATGTCTCTGACATCTCCCGGAGGAGTGAGACGGACATGATCTTCGGCATGTGCGCGCGATACGGCCGCGTCGAAGAACTGCATGATGATCAGATCTACGAGACATCGCGAGTCGAAAGCAAGGAGTAGCATACCCAAATCGTTCGCCTATAAACACATTGGACTGGCGAAGTCCTTGCCACTCGCCGCGCTCGGGGTTCGCATCAAGGGTAGGCGGAACTTGTGTCCAGTATTCAAGTCGGAATACGAAGCCAAATGCTGTGGGGACACTCGTTCAGCGGGTGCGGTTACAGCACCATTGATGATCATACCTGATGTGAAAAAGTCGGCCGGTTTGAGGTTGCGCAGGAGATACGTATCGTCATTCATGTAGACGCTGGAGTTTGAACATAGTAAGCACACATTTACTTTCAGCATAAACGGTTCAACGCACAAGATGTCATCGACGCCTTGTATATTGCTAAACTGCGATTCGATCGCAAGGTTGTTGAAGATAGTCTCGAAGTAAGGTTTGAAGAGGTTGGCGTGGTGTTGGATCCTGAGCCGAACGCCGTCGTCTCTCCAAGTGGAAGGGTCTTGGGTGCTATTAAGCCATTGCGGCACTTGACCAAGGCGGAGCACTGGCGACAGGCCTGATTCTTCAACTGAGGATGCAAAATCGCTGCGAGTCGGCTCAGCATTGATATACCCAAATGTGGGACAGATAGCTCACGAAGTGAGGATGGTGAATTGCCGTATGTATGGTTGGAAGTGAGCCAGCACACTGCGGATCGAGTGACGCAGTTCATCGTAGTTCCTTTGGTGATAGCTCAGGCTAGTAAGGCGACATGGAGTGAAGTATCCTATACCGGTTGTGGGCTATGCCCTCCTCGTCGTCTACATCAACTTCTCCGGCTTTTCCCATCAACCGAGCGCTGATGGAAGCGCGCGCCCTATGCCAAACCGGATCTGAGCTATTGACCCAGGTCCATACGAAGTCGAGTTGCGCCTCGGGCATGGTATCAGAGGTGCAACTGGCGCCGTCACTGAGAATAAGTTCCAAGCAAGATGATGGGATGTGCTGCCAATTGGGTGTTCCAGAGATAGACCGGCTGGGCGAAGAAGGATAGACTGGGAGGTAGAACTCGTCGCTGTCGTGTGGATGAATGTAGTCTGCGACGGAATATTAAGTGAGCTGTCAATACCCGCGACGACAGTTGAATGGACCACGCACCACTGTCTCCCGGATCCTCAAGCTGCTCCGCCGTGACTGGGGCATAGGTCGTCCATTGTTCTTCGCTGTACGAAATCGGGATGGCGCCGTCCTCCCATGTACGTATGTCGGGCTCGTCCGTCCAGAGGATTATCGAGAATATGTAGACCGTCAGAAGGGCGCACAGACCAGCGAAAGCGTGAAGACGGCTGGGGCGAGTCCACTGGGCAAAGGCTGCAGGCGGCTCAGCCCAGGCAGGTATTGCCATTATTCCCTAGCTGGTGGGAGGCGAGGTATCACGAGCGCACCAGAGCGTTCTGAATATGACGGTACATGAAGGGGAGCTGGAGGTTTCGCCTAGTCGCATGTGCATGCGAGCCCAGCCCGTCTCACTTGCTGAAGACTTTTCAGGTGTTGCCGAGACCCAGAATCATCGTGCGCTTTGACGTTAAGATGAAGAAGATGGACCCAGATACTGGAAAATCGGACATGGGTATCCAGCGCCGCGGTCGCCACAACGCGACGACGCCTCTGTAGCCCAATATATCCTCGTCGTCGGGTCGAAGAAAGATCGAGTGAAAGTATGCAGACTGTTCGTCAGACCGCACCCCAGAAAGGATACTTTAATGATGCAATGAGAGAATATGCATTGAGAGTTCGCCATGATCGACGTCGAGAAGAGGTCGCGGACGAGCGCGCTCGGAGCCGAAGCGCGGGAACGCCGCTAGGTTAGGGTCGGTACCCTCTGCGTCGGCCGATGCCCCGATCACCTCCATAACGCAGAGCGAAAGCACTGGCTGTTGCGCCCGTCAAATGCGAACTAATCAAACCAGATGAAGAGATTCAACACGACTGGTATTGGACAAGGTGATACAACATAGAGAACAGCTGATATAATACACGAAAGCAGCAAAGCAAGACACAACTAGCGCCTACGCGCCTACGCCTCCCAAGCGCCTGCCGTACTGAAATGCTTCCATTGCCAGTTCATCATCAACGACGAAATATCATTCAAATACTCGTCCTTCTCCACGTCATCGTTGATGCAAACCATCTTCTTGTCCTGTCCCTGCGGACCCTCCAAGCCCTCCTCAAACGAGATGATGGCCTTCTTCGTCGTCTTGAGACGGACGAACTCGTACGGCGGTGCCTCGGCGACGACGAAACGGTACCGGTTAAGCATGCGAAGTGCCCATGCGCGGATGTTGATCTGCTGGCCGTCGGGCGATTGCGAGAGGACGTCGGAGAGAGCAAAGGCGCCTTCGTTCCAGGTCGGAACGCGCGGGAGCGACTCGGCCGTTGGACCTGTGACTGGCGCGACGAATGTGCGCGTAGCAGGTGGGAGCACGGCAGATAGACCACGAGCGCCGCTGTTTTGTACGAGACGGTTGATGACTGCGAAGGAATCAGAACATGTTGTACGCGAAGATGACGAGTGTACTCACTGCAATCTCCGCACTGCGGGCGCTTGAAGGCGATATGCTTGAATGCCTCGCTCGCAGTGTGGATGTACGGCGGAAGGCACTCGGCGCGGGCAATCGTGCAAGGCGCGTCCTTGGCGAGATTCGGCACGTCAAGTGTCTCCGTCTGGCGTACGGCGTAGTACGGGTACCCATCGTTCGAGCTGAAGAAGTACTTGGAGCCGGTATGGCTGGCGACGTATCCAGCGTTCATGAGCGTCTCCGAGGGGTTGCTGAGCGTCTCACGCTCGACTGGGCCGACCTCAATGGTCTCCGCGAACGTACCGCCGCCCAACTCCATCCACGCCGTACCCGAATTCCACGAATCGTCGTCACCGCCCATGCGCGCAACAGCCCAAGCCCACAGGAGGCCCTCGCGCCAGCGCTCGATGATGTAATGCGGGAACATCCAAAGCGTGTGCACGTCGGAATGCTCGCCTACGGGCCAAACGGAACGGAACGGGCGAGCCGCCGTGCGCTCGAAGGCCTCCGGGAAGGTCTCGGCCATCTCGCGCACTAGGGAGACGGACATAACCTTCGGTACGTGCGCGCGGTAGGCGCGGTTGGTCGGACTAGGGTTGTCGTTAGCGCTGCGGCAATGAACCGGCGGCAATGGCCCGGCGGCGAGGCGAGACATACCCAAATCGCTCGCTCAGGAGCACGTTGGACTCGCGCATCTGCGGGAGCTCGCCGCGCTTCGGGATGGGAGCGTAGATAGGCAAGACCGGGTTCCAAAACTCGAGCCAGAAGACAAAGCCGAACGCTGAAAGACGACGTCAGGCCACAGTGCGAGCAGGAGAACAGGAGAAAAGCTAACCGGAAGTATGGAAGTCGGCCGGCATCATATCCTGCACGAAGTACATGTCGTCGTTGATGTATACACTGCATCCGATGTGCATCAGTTACGATCTCAGATCGAGAGCGGAACAATGAACGCACAAGATATCGTTAATATCCCTCAAGTTACCCATCTGCGACTCGATTGCGAGCGAGTTGAATGTCGTGCCATAGTACTTATCGAAATACTCGGCCGGATACTGGATCTTCAGCTCGATGTCGCCGTCCTTCCATTGCGAGGTGCCGTGCGGAAGGTCGATGTCGAGCCACTGCGGCATCTGGCCGATGCGATGCGGAGAAGATGGCGTAAGACCATCGCTGGGGAAGTCGCTGACAAAGTGTGGTCAGCCCAACCATAGCGCGTACAATACAAGAAGCGGACATACGTCGCGAGGATGGTGAATTGCTTGGCATACGGGCGGAAGTGGTCGAGAAGACTCCGTGTGGAGTGACGCAACTCATCGTAGTCACTGTGACGGGATTAAACATCACGACTGAAACGCCAAGCCGACGCGTCAACACACCGGTAATGCCACTTGCTGGCGTCCGGGTTCGTCACGATCCTGCTCTTCAACAACGCCTCCTTCACACTCTTGTGGTTGGGGCGGTAGATAGGGTCGGTCGAGTTCGCCCACGTGTATGTGAAGTCGAACTTCTGCGGCATCTTCCAGCCGGTGCAGTCTGCGCCGGACCCGATGATCTCCTCGATGCATGAAAGAGGCATCTCGGCCCATCGAGGCGCGTGTGCTGGAGGTAGGGAGGGATTGATGGGGCGGTAGAACTGCTCGCCGTAGAGTGGAGATGTGACAGCAAGGGTATCTATAGGATGAGCGTCAGAGTAGTATCGAAAATGAGGCGCAGATAACTTGCCGGCGGTAACAACTAGCGGCGGTTGAGCGACAGCCATGGGCCTCCAACTACTATCGTTATACGATAGCGGTACAAGCCCATCTCCCCATAGGACCATGGGGTCTCGATCGTCGCGCCAGAAGAACGTCGCCAGCGCATAAAGGTTCAGAAGCGCAAAGATACCGAAGAAAGCGTCAGAGCGGACGATGCGGCTGTAGAAAGACCGCGGAGTAGGGACTTGGGCCCACACGGGTGTCGGTAATTTGTCCATGACAGCGAAGGTAAGATGAAGATAGAGGCGTGTGCGGGCCGATATTTATTATATAGTTGTCAGAGGGTGCGGAAGGATAACGGTTCTGTTTTGCTTTTGGAGAGGTGTAGGCAGGGATATCGAAAGACAGACGCGGTTCTATGGAAGTTGTGGAGTAGAGATCGAGAAGTGAGATTGGTCAGGCTCGGCATAGGTATTCGTTGTGTGCGGAAGAGCTCTTGGGATCCGAACGGTGTTGAGATACTGGCGGTACTGAAGCAATATCATCTAGGATCCATGGGATACCGAAAGCATGGCCTGTAAAGCAAGGTTAAGCTTGGGTTGATTGAAGCAGTACTGTGCACATACGCTGATAGTACGCGCACACGACCGTATTCTGATCATGACGCGTTCCTTGCTACGAGAGACCAAACCGTCGGCACACCCGAATTGACTGCATCCGTCTCAGCCGAAGGCGTTTCAGTATGTGAGCTCGGGAAAGGGGCAATGTGCGGACCTTCTGCACACGACCAACTTGTTTGAGTACACGATCTTGTGCGTTCTTTCTCTATACTTTTACTGCTTGACAGAAGATGGCCTTCATGATGGAACGAGTTTTGAGCGTTGCAACCAGGATTTGTTCTTCGGCGGGCGTCTGCGAGCAGACGCTCAGAGCTTCGCCTCTGCGGTCGACGACGGCGATCTCAGACTCTACCCGGCTTCTCAGGTACGCTGTCTCAGTTAGTCGTGCCCTCGTACGCAATGTGCTCTCACCACGTATAGAGCCGAAAAGACATTCAAACCTTGAACGACAACACTCTCCTCCATAGGGTCACTTCCGTTCTACAATGACGAATGCCGAGAGAATTGGATGGACGCCCAGAGAAACGCTACGAGTCGAGGCTGATACTGGATTGAGATCTGTAAGGATATGGGCGTCACACGACCGTTAGCTGTTGAGAACGATCGGGTAGGTCCGAGGATGCTCACCGTCGAAGGTTCGAAGTAGTAGTGCCGGCGGCACGCAGGTACTCGAGCCGTCGAACACGGCAGTATCGCCTCGGGTCTACCGAAGAGCCCGAGTGGCGGTTATTTTCTAGACATCCTGTCAGGGTGCGGGGCAACGGGTACTCAGACGGCCAGCCAGAGCGTTGAGGGCCTCCGAACAGGATCGGAGCCGCTCGGCCCGAACATCCGATTGCAGCCGGGCGCGACAAAGCGCTCAACGGCGTTCGGCCAGCATGCGCGCATGAAGATCTTCATTAGTGTGTGCGTATATAATCCTGTACAACCTGAGTCCCAAAAGGCGAGAACCAAGCAAAAGGGTATCTTTTCCACCGGCGGCGTGGCTCATTGCTCGTCCCACGCTCCCCACCGCTGCGAAGGCCATTAGTACTGGAATGAACATGCAGGTCAGGATAAGCGCTCACCTCCGGTAAGTGCCAATAAGCGTGGTCCTGATATGCAACCTGTTTTGGTGGACTCTCCTTCCAATTCCC